TACGCCAACTTCGAGGCCTGGCCACACCCCTTTAAAATGCTGGAAAACTCAAAAAGTTTGATAAGTTTAGATCTCACATGCCTTATCTGCATACATGCCAAGTTTGAAGCCGATGGCTCACCGTCCCTAGGAGGAGTTCGCGAAAGTTCGACGTCAACAAAATTGAAAAAGTGCCAAAAATCGGCCTTTGAGCCAAAATGGCCGACTTCCTGTAGGTTTTAGAGCATACCCACAATGTAACTTTTTTCATGATTTGGTGAGATCTATGTACCTGCCAAATCTCAAATCTCTGTGACTTACGGTTTTCCCCAACTCACGTTAGGGGGGCACTGTAGAGGCATTTGGCGACGCCCATTTTGAATTCCATTATCATACGTAAATTTCACTAGGGGGACAATTTACTTCCAAGTTTGGTGAGTTTTTGAACATGTTAAAGCCCCCAAAAATCAGTTTCATTTAAGCGGAGAAAAATAATAATAAGAAGAATAAACGATACAGGAGCAATAGGCTCTCGCAGCGCTTAGCTGCTCGGGCCTAAATATAGAGTATATTCCATATGTCGCCTAAACCTACTGATAACATTTTAATCAAATTTCTGTTACTTTTGCTTTAAAATGAAAATATAAACAAAAGCTAAGTCAAATGAAAACCAAATGTATCATATTTTGCTTAGTCAAATGGAAACTAAATTTATCTTTTATTTATTCTTTAAAATAACTTATTTAAACTTGATTTGATGATTAAACATGCATGTTTTTGGTTAAGTACTTTGCCTAAACACAAGTTATATGAATATTTTATCTACTGCTTAAGCACATAGCATTGTATTTTAACCAACATTTTCTTCTTTTTTTTTATGGCTAACACACTTAATGTTGAAATGGTGACAACTGAAAAGGACTCATGAGTGAGCTAATTAATATTTTTTAAGTATTATTTAAAAACTATTTTTTTGTCTTTCTCCAGCTTTCCATTTTGCTTTTTTTTCCCAACCAGTTTAGCTCCGTCTAATGGTGACACCGTCAGTATGATCAGCTGATTGTTTTTATGTCTCAGCACTTTCAGTTCAGTTCAATTCAGTTTATTTTTATAGTGCCAGTTCACAACATATGTCATCTCAAGGCACTTTATAGAGACAATTCAACTAGATCATTCAGTCAGAATGATTCAAAGTTTTCTATCTACGGAAAACTAGTTGATTGCATCGACTTATAAACTCTTCAGCAATCCCTCACACTAAGCATGCTTGTAGCAACAGTGGAGAGGAAAAACTCCCCTTTAACAGGAAGGAACCTCCAGCAGAACCAGGCTTACTGTGAGCGGCCATCTGCCGAGGCCGACTGGGGTCTTTCTGTGCTTATTTGTTGTTTACTTTAATATGAAATAAAGAAGATTAACAGAATGTTGATAATAAACAACAGCAGACACCCTCATTATACCCCCTGTTCATTATTTTTTTAGTATTTGTTTCTTTAAATCAGTTCTTATTGTAAGTTGTGATCAAATGGTATTTTTTTACAAAAAACATTTATAATTTTCAAATTTTGACATCGAAACAGTTAAACAGCCTCTGATATAAGTTAAACAAATTTTGTAAAGTATAAAAGGAAAAAAAATGTGTTTTCACATTTGTAAGATGATTTAACTTTTTAATTATTCTTTTCTTTTCTAAGAGGCTTCTACTTGCAGCTCCGGGATTTAACCACAATAGCATTCAAGAGGATACTGGAACAAAGACGGGGAGCTGTGCTATACAGTTTGATACCCACGATTTCAAAAAGGTGGCTGGGTACTGTGTCCTGTAAAGAAAAAGCCATCATATAACCATAGCACAAGGCACTGGCAGTTTCTGTCAGTGTCTGGTAATTAAGAGCATCTTAGAATCCACCACAGTGAAAATTAATTTGGTCTAAAAATATTGTCCTTTACACCAGGTCACTACAGGCTCTCTGAGGGTTCAGCATGGGGGTGTTCAACTCTAATTCCCTGCTTCATTCAGAGGATGACTAAGGAAAAGGCAGTTAGTCTTTCATATGGGTCAAGTATGGGTCAAGCGGAGTATGTATGATGTCATCCGCACGCCAGCATTCATAACATAATGACGAATCATATATTTTTTATATTTTTATGTTTTAAAAACAAAGCAGAGTGTGAATCACATCCGCACATGCGCACTGGAATCGTAACAGGCAGCCACAGGCGGCTACGCTCTACCCCTTCTATTCATTCTAGCTAATCTGAATCGTTCAATTCCATTTGGAGAGCGAGATCATCTGTGGTAGCAGCACTAGACATCTTCCAGGCATGTGAGGAAAACTAGCAGCAGTTCAGTGGACAGGATGAATGAACGGTAGCCTGCGCGAGCGGATGACGTCATACACACGCCGCTTTGTTTTAAAAAAAATATACATATAAAAATGTGTGAGTCGTCGTGATGTTATGAATGCTGGCGTACCATAAATGATAAATTATGAACAGTTTAGTTTGTGCATTCAAGTCCTTGCCCATAGGAAGATGTTACTTGGATTTAACAAAACCGAATATCTTCAGAACAGCTCCAAAGGACACAAAACTAATATGGGTAAAATCAAGGGGCCAACAAAAAAAAAAAATGGTGTTCCCCTTTAACTTAAACGGTGGAACTTATATTTAAATGCACGGGTGTCCTCTCCCATCAAGCCGCTGTTATCCCTTATGCCAAATTCCAGCGAGCCTGCACAATTCAGACTCGCTATTTAGGGCTGAGTGTTCCAGGTACCCTACCCACTAATTGTTCTCACTGCTTACTCAGTTCACTGGCACAAAAATCACGCCATAGATGTTGAGCAAAAGAACACAAAATACAGAATTTGCCTAAAAACTGTTGGGAATACCCAAAGTAAGGCATCCAACCTCCACTGCCTACAGCACAACCACGCTGTTGAGTTCAAAATGTGCAACAGGCCTCATTACCTTTGCGCAAAAATGTTTGCAGGAGAGGTAAAGTTTAACTCCTGTTCAATGAGACGTTGTTGAATGTCTAAACCTGAAAGGGTACAAGACTTTAATATTTAAATGAAATATATAATGTAATTTATCAAGCATTTATCATGCATTTATCGTGTCGTTAGGTAAAACTGCCCAATTTATTATGATCTTGATTTTATTTATTTTAATTTGATTTATTGCCCGCCCGTAACAGCATGCTGACAAATTCCAAGAGACTCGTATTACTGGGTAATACAAATCCCAAGGCTTAAATTCCCAGTGTCTTCAATATAAAAGGGGCTAAGAACTGCTCAGACTTCTATACCTGAGAAATCAAACAAATACATAAATGCATGGGTCTACAAAGGAAAGCCAGCCATCCCCATAAACTTGCACCTAAAGTATTAAGCAGGTCAGATGGCTGGAAAAAGGGGTACAGCAGGATTGCAGTTTCAACTTTCAAGCACATGTATCTCTGAGGAACTGAGAAAAAGTCTAGTTACCTCTAACGTAATCTCGCCAAAAAGATGTAGAGACAGATTAAACTGTTGTATACTCCACCTTTAGCTACATTTTAAAGAGCACTATAACATTTACTAAGATTAAAGCCATTCAGTGCAACCATGCAAACTGCTGGTATGGACCGAGACAAAGCTTACCTTGAACAGCTAGAAGCTGCTCATCAGTAGTCCATCGGGCATTCACCTTCTGGGTATTCTAGAAAAGCAAAGGACAGGATTCAAAATCATAAAACAGAATGTTCTATTCAAGAACCAGGCTGAGTACAAAACGGCACCTGTTCCAAGATGACTAAGCAGACACCAAAAATAGTTCTGAAATTAATAAATGAACCAAATCTTTGATTGTCATTCAAAATGTGAAAGTTTTAGTTCAAACCCTTTTGAGTCTATTTGCTTTTTTTTCAGAAGAACAATGACAAAGGTTGTCAAAGTAATGTCCTGAAATGATCCAGGCTGCATTGATACCTGGCAGATTTGTTTGTGGAAAACCTGGTAAGATTCAGAGAGAAAGCATTTATCAATGGATAATGCAGCTCTTCTTTCTAGGAATCTGACCAAATTTATTATTACAACAAACCTGAAATCCCAGATCCAGACCAAGTCTATGCAACTTCTCTACTGTAACCATTAAAAACAGTGTCTTTCCCACAGCCAAGATCAAATTATTAGAGAGGAATCCTTAAGGAGTAAGTCATCATAATTCAAATAAAATCATGACTCTAACTGGGAAAAAAATGTTAAAACAAATGCGCTTACTTAATATAAGTACACTGCATTTACTTTCCCCAATGTGTTAGTTAATGACTCTATTTGTGTTTTGTGATAATCAGATTGATCTGTTATCTTACAGACACCTGTCTGCAGCAAGAGGATGATCTTGGCACAAATGAGACAACTGTCCTCAGCGGTTTGAATTTTCACATGCCCAAAAATTCTGGACAAGAGGTTGAGTAAAAACAATTTAGTCTGCTTTTTTGACAACTCCAAAACCAATGAATACAAATCTTTTGAAGATCAAACCCTTATCTTCCCCTTACCAAATTGCAAGGCAAAAAAACTGATTTCTATAACTATTGTCCACCAAGCCATTAGTCTCAAATTTCAGATTAGGTTTCAGACTTCACGTCTAATTTAGTTTAATTTTGTGAGAAGGTCATTATAGTGGGGACCTTTAACATTTATTCCAACATTAAAGGTAAGTGTACGATAGCCTTTATCGTAGACTTGATTGGCTTTGTTGAAAATGTGAGCAGTCCCACACATTCTAATCTGTATGTTTTTGACCTTGTGCTGACATATGGCATTAACTGTAAAGAAATAATATTATATCCTCACAACCCTATCCTATTGGACCACTTTTTAGTAACCTTCAAACTTAATTAAACAGAGCTCTCCTCTCCCAAATGAAGTTTTCCCTTTAGCTTACTTCCTGGTACATTTGGTGGGAGATGAAACTAGGGTTGGGAATTGATAAGATTTTCCCGATTCCGATTCCCTCTATTCTGTAAAACGATTCGATTCCTTATCGATTCTCTAATCGGTTCTGTGAAACAATGAATTTGGTAAGTGCACAGTGACATTCGTCTACCTTAGCCTGTGATATTCTATTTCTGCCCGCCTCGGCGAAAACAGAAGACAGTGAACGTGAGCTGCCAGCCTCTGAGCCAGCCGGGCTACCCTTCTCTTCACAGTCATCTAACTCTTATGGGTAAGGCATCCGTTTAATGAAAAAGCATTACTCTACAATTTCGGAAAATAAACTAATCTCTCCCTGATTTAAGTAAATGAACATTACCGTTCTCTCGCTTCCTGAACTGCAATAAAGGGCTGGATTAACGAGAAAGGCACACTCCCTTAATAACCCCAAAGAGAGGTGGGAAACTGGCTTATTTCTAGTAATGGTCAATGATTTACTAGGAACCACATTAAGCAAAGCCAGTGATATAAAACTAGCTACTTCCCACCAGAGTTGCCTTCCATGCCGGTCGTAACTTCAGCTTCTGTCCAGAAGCATCAAAAACATGGCATTCGTTAAAATGTATGGCATCTTGTGTGAGCAGGTGTTTCTGCATGTTGGATGTATTTCCTCTGATGTAATTGCCACTTTGCAATGATTGCAAAGCGCCTTCTTGCCATCTTTCTCTTCCTTAAAATGAAGCTAAACTTTCGATTGCTTTTGTTTTGCTTTTCTAGATTTACTCCTGGTCACGTCGTGCTTGCTTACTGAATACTGTGTGCGTAACTTGCGTAAAAAAACGTGATGTAAGTCCTGCTGCCCAGCGCTAGGATCTGCTGCTGCCTGGAATCATTAAGAGAATCGTTTAGCGAGCTGCCGAACGGTGCCATGGAATTGGAACACACAGAACCGGTTCTGAACAGGAACCGGTTTTCGATTCCCATTCCTAGATGAAACCATCCTTCTACAGTAGCAGCCATTCAAAATGGCCCTTCCCAGTCAAAATCCAAATTTGCCTCCAACTTTCAGCCACTGGCCTTCTTCACAGAGCAGGAGAACTGAGAATCCCACGGAAGGAGGGGGCAGCAGAGCGGAGAGAGAGGTAATCAGTTTGCCAGTCTCAGGAGCAGCCTGCTGGGGAGAGGCTAAAAGATAAATGCTACAGCTGCCCAGGACTAGCTATTGACCAGCGGAAGTTGTGAGTAGTAGCAGTACAAAGAAGAAGCCAGCCACTGAGACAGAGCTAGGAGAGGCTACTGCTAGCAGGGATTAGGCACTAGGTTAACAGCAGAGGGTCAGGGGCACACTGCTGGGGACAGAGGAGCGGGGGAGAGAAGGCATCAGTCTGTGTCTGCGCTGGAGGCGGGAATGAAATATTCCTTCTGGGGCTGCTTTTTTAAAAGGCACCTAAAAACCTGTTAAGATAGTTACTTGCTCTGTAATGGAATGTGTGTTCAAAATATGGGAATGCACTGTGTTATTCTGTCCTATGCTTTTGTACTTAGCATATTTTTTAAACTATAAATAGTCAGCTCAGTTTAATAATCTCTTTTAAGGCGAATCATGTGATAAAGGAAAAGGATAGTTAACCAAGATCAAATTAAACCTTTTTTTATTATTTCAAGTTCAATGGTTTTTTGTTTTTTTTTTCTTAAAAAAAAAAAGCTCTGTCTTTTTTCTTATGTTGGATCTTATGAATGTGCATATGTAAATAAGCTGTCCTTTAAGTACCAAAGCATCAACTATGCAGCGATGAGTGGCCCATTTCCTAGGAATGGTTGTAAAGCCCTTATCTTTGTGGCTTCAATTTCAGATTGTGTGGTTAGTGGGTCAGGGGTAGTCTTTGCAATTAAGTACCAGTGGTTAAAAGAAAAGGGGGTGCATTATGGTTGGGCTTTACTGTACTTGAAGTCAGAGGTATAAAGAGCCAAAATGAATGGTGAGCGTACCGTTCCCTTTTGCGATCCTGTGCTGCTGACTACTTAATTGGACAGTCGACCCTTCCATCTCACAAACTGTGGTCTGTTTGTCAGGTAGTCTTTAAACCAACCGACTGTAGAGGCCTTCTTTTAAATCTTTTGGAGCGTCAAAAAAAGCATATTAGACTGAATAGTGTGAAATTACTAGGAGAAATCAGAGATACCATTCCTCACAGTGATGTCTGGCTTGTCTAAATGATGGTGGGTTTGGACAAAAAGGCTTATGATGGCATCTTTAACCTCCAATCCAAAGTACATTCAGGGAAAATAGGCTACATGCCCATAGATCCTCAAAGCTCCTGCAGTATTTCCTTAGCTCCAGAAAGTGGGAAGACTGGCAGCCTCTTTCCATGTCTACTGGGGTGACAGTCTGCTCATGAAATTATGTTTTAGTTGTAAAGGGTCAAATAAATAGGCTACTTCAAAGATGTTTTTTTTGGTATAAACTTTCATGTCTCTGGGGAAGCAGTAGTATTCTAGTTGGCATAACGTTATCTTAATTGAAGTTTTGTGGTTAGTCACAGACTCAGTCATTGTATCAATGTTCTTTCCGTGTAGCTTGCACTGTGCAAGTCTATAGCATCAAAGCTACTTTTAAGGGCTTCTTAAACTCCCTGCTAACATCTTTGTACAGTTATACAGGTTGCCCTGATAAAAGGCACTAGCTCTAAGCAGATAAAAATAAAACTGAATTTCTTTCCTAAAAGGACATAATTTTTTAAGTTTGGGTCATGGCGTTTGTGTACTACTTTTTACTCTCTAATCCAAGTTTTTTTCCATGTCACAGTGAGTGCATATAGTAAGTATAATGGGAACTACATTTAAAGAAAAAGGAAAACAATAGGCAGGGCACAATAGATGCTTTTGCAGGGTTTATATGCTGGCTAAGAAAGTAAGAGGGGATTTACCGACAGAGATCTGGGAGTCTGTAGAGGAAGGTATTTTTGTTTGGGGGGGACACCTGACTGTTGCCTGTGTGATTGACAGAATATATTATTTAAGTCACCAGTTATAACCACAAATACAATAGGCTGTGTCTATAGCTTAACAATAACAGAACTGATAACATCTCGATTTCAGCAATAGTGGGCACTGCGGACTCTGGTGATCTCTCTGAGTAAATAATGTGGATGAAAAAGGACAAAAAAATTTAACATCTTATGTTGAACTTTTGTTCAACATAAGAACAATGTTCTTGTGGCTGGTGCCTTTAAAGGTGCAGATACAGCACTTTTAATTTGATTTCAATAGCTTGTTGTAATGAATGGTCTTCAGTCCATGACCGGTGTTCACATTTGATAATCATGGTATACTTGATTGGTGTACTTAAAAATATGCTTTTTTTTTTGGAAGTTAGGAATGTGTTTACCTCAGTCGTTCTATACTCCTCAATCCCAGACTCCAACAGCTGTTTCAGCCCACTGTTCATCTGTTTAGCATTTTGGACCTGAAGAACAACATAGAAACATAGCCCACAAAGAAAAAAATATGTTAATTTATCTGTAACATCAAGGTGTAAATTCCCACTGAAATCTAAGCAAAACAGAAGGACAAATGAGTGTTTCCCTCTCACTACTCTCGCTTTCTTTAGTATGGGTTTAGGCATATTAAGTGTTTTTCTGTGAATTGAGGTTGGTTGAACCACGATTTTTTTCTCCACTAAAGAACTTATTATTACTGGTCTTGATGGCATGAAATAAAATCAAGAATGTGAGACAACATTTTTTTCTAGAAAGCTTCATTTTGCATCTTAAAAGTCTATACAAAGTATTCTACTAGACAATATTAGAGTATTGTCTAGTAGAATAGAATAGTCTGGTCTAGTCAAGTGTATTATAATAATAATAATAATAATAACTTGCAATCTTTTTCGGGAAAGCCTGGTCTGATTCGGAGAGACAGCATCCATCCCACTTTGGATTGGGCAGCTCTTCTTTCTAGGAATCTGGCTACATTTATTAGTCCTCCAAAACCCTGACCCCCCAGGGTGCAGACCAGGAAGCAGAGTTGTAGTTTAACACACATCTCTGCAGCTTCTCTACTGTTACCCACTCTTTACTCCATCCAGACAGTGTCTTGCCCACAACCAAAATCTAATAAATTAGCAAAGATTCCCAAAGGAGTAAATCATGATAATCTAATAAAAATAACTCCAATTGGGGGATAAGTTAAAACAATTAAATGTGGTCTACTTAACATAAGATCTCTTTCCTCCAAAAGTCTGCTAGTTAATGACTTGATTTGAGAAAATCACATTGATTTATGTTGCCGAACAGAAATTTGGCTGCAGCAAGAGAATTATGTCAGCATAAATGAGGCAACTCCTTCAAGCTATTTAAATTTCCACATACCCAGAGGTTCTGGGTGAGGAGAAGGAGTAGCAACAATCTTTCAGTGTGACTTACTGATTACTCCAATGGCAGTTAATAATTACAACTCTTTTAACCCAACCATTTGACCCTTAGTTTCCCTCATTCAAATTGACAAGCTAAAAAAGCTCTTCTTTTTGTAACTTTGTATCATCCACCAGATCTTTACTCTAAATTTTTAGATGGGTTTTCAGAGTTCCTTTCTGATTTGGTATTAAATACTGACAAGGTCATCATAGTGGGGAGTTTTAACATCCATGCTGATATTGAAGATGATAGCTTAAGAGCAGCATTAATAATATCTTAGACAATATTGGCTTTTTTCAAAAGGGAAATAGTCCCACACATTTTCATCTTCATACTTTGGATCTTGGGCTGACATATGGCATAGAATGTGAAGAAATAACAGTATTTCCTCACAACCCTGTCCTCTCTGACCACTTTCTAATAACCTTCAGGATTACTTTAACAGAGTTCTCCACCCTCAAAAGAAGGCTCAATTTTAGCAGATCATTATCAGATAGTGCAGTTATACATTTTAAAGAATCTGCTTCACTTTCTCTCTCCTCTTTGTCACTGAGCAGTGCTTC